AAGTTCTCTAGAAAAAATACGAGAAATGAGAAAAATAAAGAAAATTATAAAGCATCTAGTATCTACTCGCCGTTTTCTTGTGGATCGGACTCAGAAACTAGATTCTCCTGATCTGAAATGGCTAAATAAGCAATGAACTACACTAACCCAATAAGGACATCACACTATATCACTGTCACAGAAGTAAAGGTTGGTAGAAAACCAAAAATAACAAATGAAGCACAAATTTTAAACAAATTCGTTTATCAATAATCAAACCATTTATCGTCCACTTACCGCAGTGAGATTTATAAAAATAACCTATGGAAACAATAACATTATAAATATCATGAATTCATATATAATCTATAACATAGCACATATCATACTTTTATATTCAAATCATCAAACAACAACTGTCCCTTTTTATCAGTCTACTAGTATCCATGGGGATCCATAGGGGTCTCTGCTACACGTGAATCATTCTCCTTAATAAACTTAATTCCAGGGCCGTCTCCATACCTCGTCTGGTATGAGCACCAAAATAATAAACCTCAATACCCCGTCCGGTATGAGGCTGAAGTGGGCCGTCCCCATACCCCGTTCGGTATGGGTGCCAAATGACCAAGTCTCCATACCCTGTCCCGTATGAGACAACGTTCACGGTAGGATTTCCTATGAACCCGGTCCGTCCACCATCTCTTAAGATATCTAGTGAGGCTGTCATCTTATCCATTCATCAAATCCCATCACATTCCTATTTGTCCTTAGTCTCCGTTACCAACTCAAACATGAATACATACACAAGTAACGTGCATCCAACAAAACAAGCATATCTTAGATTCCCAAAATTAAACAGTAGTGAAGTAAGTAGTGATACATGCATTCAAAATCATAGAATAAATAAACCAGATACCATAATGCATTTAAACTGTAAAATAAATCAAACAGGAATTAACAGAGAAATATGTCCGGTTCGAGCTCCATTAGCAACCGTAATTAATTATGCATATCTATTTAATTTGTACAAAATACAGTATTATCATTTATTCAGACTTCAATTCCATGATAGAAAATAGGATGAGGGGTCCTTACTTGATTTGATGCCGAAACCTAGATTTTCACTGCGCCTACGGGCGGTCCCTGGGTTTCCTGAATTTTTTTTCGGGAACTAAAATGCGCTTACGGTACCTACACATGTCCCAAATAACTCAAAAATTAGACCCAGGGCCTACTCAGCCAATTTCAAAATTCCGGCACGGCGGCTCCATCTTGCTCTGGCGACGACGACGCCGCTCGCGACGACGATCCACCTCGGGTTGGTTTTTTCGGCCATTTCTGGCTGAAAGTATACGTATCATGTATCATGTCTGGGTTAGCTTCTGCATCTTGTTAGTTGAGTTTTTCAGAACTAAAGAAACGGTTAACTACTGCACCTGTGTTGGCCTTGCCGAGCGAGACAGGTAGATATACAGTTTATAATGATGCATCCTACTTGGGGTTGGGTTGTGTTTTGATGCAGTATGAGAAAGTCATAGCCTATAGGTCCAAGCAGTTGAAGAGTCATGAGAAAAACTACCCCACCTATGACTTAGAACTAGCCGCGATTATCCACACCCTAAAGACTTGGCGCCATTACTTGTATGGGGAGACCTTTCAGATCTATACCGATCATAAGAGCTTAAAACACATATTCGCTCAAAAGGATCTCAACATGCGTAAGAGAATATGGATATAACTCCTCAAAGACTACGATTACAACATCTTGTATCACCCAGGCAAAGGCAACACAGTAGCCGATGCACTCAGCAAAAAAAATGCAGACATATTAGCTCATATAATAGTTTCATAATGCAAGGAAATAGGGGCCGTACAACAGGTACGACTTCAGCCTATGGATCCCCAGGGATACCAGTAAGCAAATAAAAAGAGAAAGTTGTTGTTCTGACTAATTGAATATGAGATTATGATGTTGTTTGTGTTATTGTCTCTATATGTCGATTTTTGGAAATCTTACTACGGTAAGTATATTATAAATAATTTTATTTATAATAAATGAATTTACTTAATTTAAGAGTTCAATTAGTTGTTTTTATAATTTTTACGAACCTTCATTTCTGTATCGGTGAGTAGTGTGACATTCTTACTGAATTAATGTAACTCACTCTTTCATTAATTATTTCAGATCAAGAGAACTAAGATCCATATCTCGATCCACAAGAGGGTTGCGAATAAGATAGAACTAAGATCCATATCTCGATCCACAAGAGGGTTGCGAATAAGATATCCAATTGTTTACTTTTTATTTATTTCTTTTATTTTTCGTTTGTTTTTTTAGAAGAGTCATTCTCGTATCCCTATTTGTAGCACCCGGAAAGGAGGAGGAAAAAAAAAAAAAAAAAAAAAAAAAGAGAGGGGGGGGCCACGTCAGCAGCCACGTCAGCAGGCCCGGTCAGCAGTCCCGGCCAACCGGGGCCTGCCACGTGGCAAGATCGCGTCACTCCAAAAGGAGCCACGTTGGCGATCCGCGTGGGTGCGATCCGACGGCTCAGATCAATCGCGCGATCGGACGGCCCAGATTCAAACGCACGGACGGCCCAGATTCAATCAAAAACGAACGGCCCAGATTAAAATGAAATGAACGGCTGTGATCAAAAGGCAAGGGGTTATAAATAGAACCCCCACACCAGACCACAAACCCTAGCCGCCAGCCGCTCGCCGGAGAAGACGAACCAGAGGCCGACCGCCGCCACCCGCCGCCACTCGCCGCCGCACCGGGGAAATTTCCGACCGCTGATCGAGGTAAATTTCATACCCCCGACTCGTTTTTCCCCACTGATTCCTCCTATGGCCAAATCGAAGCCGAAATCCCGGCCAAACGGCCGGAATACGCGGCCGAAGCCCAGCGGCGCCGCCGCGCCCCCTCTCGGTTTTTGCCTCCGACGAGGCCCTTCCCGGCCTCCGTTCGATGCAATTTTTATATCACCGTGATCACCATTCTTTTCTCTACAGGTTGACCGAAGCCAAATCACCAAAACACGAACCTCGCCGGAGAGTCGCCGTACCCGAGAGCGCCGCCGCCGGTAAGCTCCGCTTTTCCGTGATTTTTTGGCCCCCCGAGGGCCCTAGGGTTGTTTTTTGACAAGGACCAATGCGAGAGTGGCCGAATTCGGCCGAAAACGGCCGAAAACAGTCAACCCGAGGCGACTCGCCGCCGCCAGCGGCGGCGCCGACGCCGGAGCACGGCGGAGCCGCCGTGCCGGAGTTGCGATTTGGGCCGAAAGAGGCCCTGGGCCTAATTTGGATTTTTTTTGGAACACGTGCAGGTACTGTTAGTGTGTTTCAGTTCCCCGGGAAAAATTCAGGGAAAATTAGGGACAGCCTGCAGGCGCACTGTGAATTGTATTCGGATCCCGAAAACAAGTAAGGACCCCTCACCATATTTCCTATCACGGTATTAAAGTTCAAAATGATAAAACGGTATTTCTTGAATTAACGAATGTGTGAAATTGCTTAAGGTGGCTAATGGAGCCCGAGTCTAGTGTGATTGGTGATTTACTGTTATTTGGCCTGTTTACAGCTTTAAATGCAAAATGAGGTTTGATGTGTTCATTTTACAGATTTGTGTGCATATATTACGTTTTTATTAATCATGGGTTGAATGACTGAAAAACTGATACTGTATGTTGTCTGTTTGGCATGAATTACTGTTTTACTTGTTTGTATGTGAATTGATGATGCTGACTGAGGAAAAGGAAAATGAAAGATTGTGTAGACTGACAATTGTATTATGGGGGTCAGCCTGACTAGATATCCTGGGAGATGGTGGACGGACCGGGTCCGTAGGGAACCCTACCGGGATTGTGGTCTCACATGCCGGACGGGGTATGGAGATCTTATGGTTTTGGCGCCCATACCGGACGGGGTATGGGGACGGCCCATTTCACCCTCATACCGGACGGGGTATTGAGGTTTATGGTTTTGGCGCCCATACCGGACGGGGTATGGGGACGGCCCGTTTCACCCTCATACCGGACGGGGTATTGAGGTTCATGGTTTGGCGCCCATACCGGACGGGGTATGGGGACGGTCCTGGAAACTGATTATGAATGTTAAAGGTTAACGGGTAGCGGAACCCCTATGGACCCCCACGGATACTAGTAGGCTGGTAAATGAGAAAAAGATATGTTGTACAATGATTGAATTACAAGAGGCGTGATAAGTGTTATGTTTTACAGCTTAGATTATTCAATGATTATGATGATGTTATTGTTTTTCTCATATTGTTTTCATAAATTCCACCAAGGTAAGTGGATGGTAAAGGTTTTCATGTTAATAAACGAGTTTGTTGTAAATTATGCTCCATTGGTCTTTTTGTGTTTTTCTACCCACCTTTATCTCCGTGACGGTGAGATATCGTGATGTTCTTACTGGGCTAGTGTAGCTCACTCCTTAATTAACCATTTCAGATCAGGAAGACATGGTTCCCGAGCCCGTTCCGCAGGAGGACGACGAAGGGGATGCCTAGAGACTCTGTAGTCATACGCATAGTTTATTTTCGAGTTTTCTTTCTTAGTTAGTTTAACCTTTTATATTTTAAGTACGTTTTTTTTTATTTTTCGTGTAAGGGATGTTAACTGAAATTTTGATCTCGCTTCCGCATTCGATATATTTAAATACTCATCTCTTTTTTAATATTTTCTGGGGCCGTTACACTATTAGCTATTCTAATTTATTGTATAAGAAATATAAACTCTAATTCTATTATTTTATTTTTATATTTAATTTATAATTTTATTTATTTTAATTCTCATAGTGTTACACAAGAAATTATATTTTTTTGTTTTAATTGAAAATAATTTATTATTATTATTTTATGATTTTGCAACCAAGAAATTGTCCAACGCGCTACTTCTTCAACTGTCAAACTCCCACTTGCCCGGAGCCATTAAATTTAACGGGAAAATATTTTTTTTCCGTTAAAAAACGTTTTCTTTCTCTTTCCCTCGTTTGCTTCGCTACTTTTTTTTTTTTTTTTTTCCTTTCTTCATCTTTTGATTTTTCTCCGGCAGATCCTAGACTACTCGTTTGGTTCATGCCTGAAGCTTGAACCAACAACATCACCCAAAACCAAAACAGCTTCTTCCCTAATAATTCCTCGCCATTTTCAACCGCAAAATACTAAATTTCTCCTGAGAAACGAAAAAGACTCATCCCGAATCCTCAATTTTCTCTGAAAACATCAAACTTGCGAAACAGGAGAAACAACAGAATCATCTGCTTTCAATGGATTCTGACTCTCCCAGAACCATCCCTGTTGTTTCTACTTTTGCTTCTCCATTTGACAATCCTCCTCCTCACCCTCCTTCTTCAGTCAATGGCGCCAATTCCTCCAACCGGAAGCCCATAAGTCTATGGCCGGGAATGTATCATTCGCCGGTGACAAATGCTTTGTGGGAGGCAAGGTCTCAGATCTTCGAAAGACTCCTTGACCCACCGAAAGATGCGCCTCCACAGAGCGAACTGCTCACCAAAGCTCCATCTCAAAGCAGGATTAGCATTCTTTACAATTTCTCAACTGATTACATACTGAGGGAGCAGTACAGGGATCCATGGAACGAAGTTCGGATTGGGAAATTGCTTGAAGATCTCGATGCCTTAGCCGGAACCATCTCTGTCAAGGTATCGTGTTTCATTTCAGCTTTCTGCTTGATATTTAGTAACTTTGATGAATTTTTCTATGTGGATATTTACATGATAAGGTTTTGCTGGTTGCCATAGTTCTATCTATTTATTAGCTATTATTTGATGTTGTCATTTTCCACGTTTTTAGTGCAGTAGTGCATAATTATGACTGTTAAGAATATGAATATTTTGAAATAAAGAAGCTTCTCTCATGTTTTCTGCTGTTCGTTGTTCTTGGTGGACTGCAATTTAGCATTGTTCCGATGATGATAGCACAACAAGGCCGCTTTTGTTGGTTACTGCTTCAGTGGATAAGATTGTGTTGAACAAGCCAATTAGTGTTGATATTGATCTGAAGATAGTTGGTTCTGTCATATGGGTTGGTCGATCATCAATTGAGATTCAACTAGAAGTTATTCAATCAACTAAAGGTATCTGTAATTAGAATTAAACAAATCTCTAGCAATATGCAAACCTTTTATAGTTTAGCTACAAATGTTAGCACTGGAATTTGCCTTCAACAGCGATACCAAGAAATTTCATCATTCTGATATTTATTATTCTTTTACTCTCTTTGAACTGTGTTGGCATAATCAAATTATTTTACCATTTGTCTTTAGCAGTTCACGTTCTATTCCCACCTAACTCCCCTCTCTATTTCTCTTAATACATAGAACTTGTTGTTATTCTCAGCTTGCACCCCCATCTTGAATTCGTAAGTGATAGAAATTCAATTCCCATTTTAGTTCATAGGATTTGGATAGTCAACCCTGAAGAATTCAAGATAGGGATATGGGTGAAATGAAATATACAAATCAATCCTAGTATTGAGACTGATTGGAAAGGTAAGAATGAGGTGGGAATGGAATCAGAATTGAACATAGGCAATCTTACTATTGAGTGGAAATGGAATGTGACTTTTTCCTTAATTGTATCATTAGTCATAGAAGCGGATATTGATCGCTTGCAGTGTCACACGTGGGGGCATATCTTTTCTATAGCTTCACCTCTAAAACATCCGCTTTAGTTATTATATTTTCTCATATCAATTTTATTTAAAAAAACAAGCCTACTTTCATCTAGGTACTGAAAGAAGAAATTGGTTATCACTATTCACTAAGCTACCAGTATAGGCTCTACTGCCTACTACACCATTATCCTATCATGGACCTATTAACTTTAAGATAACTATGACCCACAACAGTTTCCTTGAGCAATATTGTTTTGCAGAAGACACGGATTCTTCAGATTCAGTAGCTTTGGCGGCCAACTTCATATTTGTGGCCCGTGACTCTAAGACTGGAAAGGCTGCTCCAGTGAACCGGCTCTCCCCACAAACTGACCATGAAAAGTTTCTTTTCGAAGAAGCTGAAGCTAGGAATAATTTAAGGAAAAGGAAACAAGGAGGAGACAGAAGGGAATCTGAAAATGGCGAAGTAAATAGACTCAATGCACTCTTGGCTGAAGGACGGGTCTTCTGTGACATGCCAGCTCTGGCAGACAGAGATAGCATTCTTTTAAGGGATTCACGACTTGAGAACTCTTTGATTTGCCAGCCACAACAAAGGAACATCCATGGCAGAATCTTTGGGGGGTTTCTGATGCACAGAGCATTTGAGTTGGCTTTCTCAACAGCTTATGCTTTTGCTGGACTGGTGCCATGCTTTTTAGAAGTTGATCACGTTGATTTCTTAAAACCTGTGAGTACTATGTCCTTTGTGCTCCACATCTTTATTTGTTTATGTATTATGCAAATCCATGTCTTGGTGTAAAAAAATTCACAATGAGCACCCGTTACTCGTGGTATGAAACAAAAGAGAAAACTCATATCGGTGTGACCTGTGCAGCCACAGCCTTCATGCCCTCTCATATCTGCAGGGGAAATGTGAAATTTTATTTGCTTGTTAACTCAACTTCAACTACATGTGAAAGATTTTGTTTTGGTTACTATCTTTATGGAAGCTCTTACTTGAACTAATCCCAAAATCGTGTTGGTTGAGTAGGTGGATGTTGGGGATTTCCTTCGTTTCAAGTCATGTGTTCTGTATACACAACTTGAAAATCCAGACCAACCCCTAATAAATATTGAAGTTGTCGCTCATGTTACAAGACCGGAGATCAGATCTAGTGAGGTAAGTTGCTCTAGGTGCCATATACAAGACTGGAAAGACTCTGGTTCTTGTTTTTGTGATTCTTTTTCAACTTATTGTTATGATTTTCAATGTGATTTTCAATGCATTATCTTTTGCTGTATCTATGAAACAGGTATCGAATACTTTCTACTTTACTTTCACTGTTCGCCCAGAAGCAAAAGCTACAAAGAATGGATTTAAAATCCGGAACGTAGTTCCAGGAACAGAGGAAGAGGCACGTCGCATTCTCGAGCGCATGGATGCTGAGACTGTGAGATCAATAAAAAGAACGAGCATCTAACAGAATCTCGTGTGAGAAAATCAGCATAGAAGTGACTGAGGCTTGACTAATGGTGGGGAAATTTGAATACTTTATGAAAAAAATTCCGAAATAATTGTAGCTTTAGGATATTCTGTAATCATCTAAAGAACGGAAAGATCTAAGTTTATCTTGGTTTGTCCATGCCCTTATTTTCATATTGGCAACATTCACCTCTACGGGCTTTTGTGCTCGCTTTTGAGCTGTTTGAGCTCGTACAGCAGCTAACAAGAAAAAGACTCGGGGGTTTTATCTGTAAGTGAAAGTTAGAGAAAGGAAAGATTTCTTGAGTGCATATGTAACAGCAGATCTTGTGGCCTTTTTCTGTAAATGAAAAACACTTGTGATTCATGATTTATAACAGGCTTACAACTTTACAAGACATCCGCCTAATACAGTAGACTGTCTTATTCTTCCAAAAGAAAGTCGCCTCTGTATATTACCTATGAGACAAAACCATTCCCAAAATCTTTTACAAGGATTTATACAGATACAAATTGAAAAAAAAAATTAATAAATTACATCAACCTAGCAGCTATTTCCACACAAGCTTCAACCTCTCCAAACCACCAATTTGTGATAGTTTTGAGCCAAGAACCCTAGTGAGATGTGCTCTCTTCATCAGAAGAACAACATTGCTGTCTTCCGGGGAAGACAGGAAATACTTGTGGCAATGTAGGATTCACTGGGACTGGAAATTTATGGGCAGAACTAACTATTGTCCGTTCGTTTATCATTCCGACTTCCTTACACACCCGATCGAGAATTGTAAGTAAGTCTCTAACCACCATGAATATTCTGAACGGATGAGCTTCTTCTTTTGCCGAGTTCCCGTGGAAGTACTCTGTTATTTCTTTTACAAGAGACAGAGCAACACTCTCATGGGCCTGAATTCTTATAATCTCCTCCTCAGCTATTTTCATAAATCTGTTCATCGATTCTGAGAATTTCTGACGGCTTCCATCTGATCCCATTGTTTCATTCAGTTGCACAACCTCATTGATATTCCCCAGGCCTCTAGAAAGCTTGCAGACCTCACTGCCAAGCACATCAGAATCCATGGCAGCAGCTTTCTTTACGTGGGTGAGCTCTGAACTAAGACTTGAAACAACTTGCAAACCAAGCCTCCTGCATTTTGCATCATCATTCAATGCAGAGTTTGGAGCTTGGCCACTACTCGAAAGGCGAGCACCTTCAGCTCTTATGATTTCTTGTACAACGAAGTGCAAGAGTGTGGTTTTCCCATCTGCACCCTTGACATCTACAAGCTTGAGAAGCGTATCAAGTTTGAAGGCCTGAGCATCACCACGGTTTGTCCCAACATTCATGCGGTTGCCAGTCTTGAGCACAGCCTCTAGCAGCTTCAGAAACATCCTACTGTTCCTAAGCTCCTCACAAGCAGCCTGTAAACGTGGAATATCTTGTTAAGTCTTGCCTACTATAACTTACAGAAGCAAGCACTAAGAGGAACAGATTAAACTAACAGGAAAAATTGTGGTCATATTCATTTATATTCTGACAGGTATATCAGAGGATAAGTTGAATAGTAAAAGAACCTTGGAAAGGAAAAGGAAAAAGAAAAAGATTAGATGACTTCTGTTTTACCTCTAGGGTTTCAAATGACCTTTTCAGGTAGTCAACCTCGGATTCAAAGTTTGCCATGTAAAGCATTGCATCCACTCTTTTAAATGCAAAAGGTATGTCAATCACTGCCTTAAGAAATTTCTCAGCAGGACCAAGCTTAATTGGTGAATCGTCTTTGTAATCCTTCAACTTCCTTTCTTCTTCTTTGGTTGGAGCCATCTTCAGTAAACTTTCTAGAAGTTCAGTTCCAAGTGTTTCTGGATTGCCTGTATAGAAGTAGAAATAATTTTTGTTGCAACCTCAATAAGTCCTAAGAACCAATCAAGTTGATTATGGATTTTCTTTTAATTGATGCATAAATATGAAAGAACTGTACTAGGATGAGGGCTCAATGGAATTAAAATTTTCTGTTGCAAGAAGCTTTGAGAATTTCCAGACTGATAGTGATGAAATGAAAGCATTGTAAGATCAACCTTAGTGAATCATTCTGGGTTTGAATGGAGAATTAAACACTGGGTTGAGTAGTAGCAAACCCAGATAACCTGACATACTCGAAAGATGTGATCATATCATAGATATTGTGAATTCAGTGTGATTGGGCATATAGACCATAAGAAGGAAGAAGAGGGAGGAAAAAAGCAAAGAAATTTGCTATTCAGACATTAAATAGGTTTCTAAATTATTAGCATGTTCAAGGTTATAAGTTCCACTGATCAACTCAGACCTGATGCCCTCTCTTCCAAATGTAACATGAGCTCATTATCACCACGGAGAAGTGGTCAATAATCATTCTATACCTTATCAAGGTGCTATCACCGTAAGAAGCCATTAAGATATTTTAAGCAGGAAAAAAATGCAATTATCAAAGGAGCAAATGGCTTTTGTCTGATACTGGAAAACTAGAGAGACAGGATCACTAAAATACTGATTTCTTTCAAGGACAATTTTATGAAAAACCTTCAAGAAAGTTATCGTTCCAAAACATACAAAAAAAAGGGCTAAAAAAATATCTGCAGTATACATCTACCATAAAACCAAAGATATCAAGCAACAAGTCCCCACTATACACTCAAAAGATATCTAAATTAAATTGAACTTAACCACATAAATTCCATCAGGAAGCCAGACACTTTCTACAAATCAAAGAAACTTAACATTACCTTCAAGGAGTGCCTCACAAACTTCCTCTATTGTGACATTGAGTGCTCTTAGCAGGATGGCAATATTTTGAGCCTTCTTTGGATCTAATACTCTGTTCTCTTGGTTTGACGGTGGAATAACTGACCAAGGAGTTGTTTGCTTTAATTTAGGAGTTGGGGTGTTTACAACAAACAATGTTTCGATCATCTCCTCGTTTAATCTGCAAGTAATCCAATTCTAAAATTCTATATCACGTAAAATACAGGTGTATCATCCAAGAAAGGAACTTGACTTTCATAAACATCAATGAAAAAGATGAACGGGGTCAGTATCTCACTTGAAAGAGCTGGATCGCAGATGATCCCAGACCATCTCACGATCAGAACTGGCTCTAACTTTATCCCAATGTAATGGCTTCAACTTGGGTTTAGGAGTCTCCTCAATCGGGTCCGCTGTAACACAACTTGGTGGCAACTCAACTGGAGAAACATTTGATGGGTTTTGGATTACGAAGGGCCTGGATGGTGGTATAAGAGGAGGCGGCTTGGGAATGAGCTGATCGATTGGTGTCGATGGGTTTGGACTTTCTGAGTTTCTTTGAGGCAAAATTGGAGGAGGAGGTGGTGGTGGTGGCGGCGGCACTGAAATTGGCTGCTTCGAAAGATTGCTGTTTGCCACTTGAGTCTGAAGGTTTTGATCTGAAACATTCAATAATCTTGGTGATCCATCTGGACTATTCTTCAAACCCCGATCAGGTGATGAATGAAGTGGAGATGCTAAAGGAGACTGTCTATTGCGGCTCGAAACTACAGGAGATGCAAGTGCGCTACTGTTAGCGACTCTATCCGGTGATCCATCTGTGGCATTCGATAATCTTGGTGATCCATCTCGACTATTCTCAAAACCCCTATCAGGTGATGAATGAAGTGGAGATGCCAAAGGCGACTGCCTATTGCGATCTGAAACTACTAGAGACGCAGCTGCGCTTTTGTCAGAGACTCTATCTGGTGATCCATCTGTAACATTCGATAATCTTGGTGATCTATCTGGACTACTCTCCAAACCCCGATCAGGTGATGAACGAAGTGGAGATGCCAAAGGAGACGGCCTGTTGTGATTAAAATCTCCGGGGGATGAAGATTGGCTTCTGTTAGCAACTCTTTCTGGTGAAGAAGAAACTGAGGAAGACAGTGAAGGAGACCGCAGGTTTCTGTCTGCAACAACAGATGTTCTCGGAGACTCATCAGATTTTCCCTCCAGACCTCGCCCTGGTGATGTAGAAGCCGAGGATAGCAATGGGGACTGCAATTTTCGTTTTAAATACTTCCGTATTGCGGAAGGTGCATTCCGGATGCTCAGAAAATCTTTTTCCGGTGATGTAGAAACTGAAGATTGCGAAGAAGACCTTATATTTCTGACCAAGTATGGGTCTGGGTCTTTCTGCAAACCTCTATCTGGTGAATGTGAATGAGAAGATAGACAAGGAGACTGCACATTTCTGTTCAAATCACTCAGTATTCTCAGAGATACATCTGGATTCTTGTCCGAACCTTTAACAGGTGAACTTGACTCGTAAGATAGTAAAGGGGATGTAACTTTTTCATCCGAAATGATGGGTACTGCATGATATTCATCTGGATTCTTCACAAAATCTCTATCCGGTGAGGTGGAAGGCAGAGAAGTTAAAGGAGACCGCGCATTTCGATCTGAAGCGTCCGATATCCTCCGTGATGCATCTGAATTCCTCTCCGAAACTCTTTGGGGAGAATCCCCGTGCTGAAGCAATGAAGCTGGGTGAGGAGCCGGCGATTTCGGCTCTGATCTTCGCGGGCTCAAACTCACTGGTGGAGAAATGCTAACCGAGTGGGACCTAGCCGGTGAGCCCGAACTAGAAGACGAGCAGGAGCAAGTACTGGACTCGCTGTTTTTAACTCCAGAATCCTCACATGCAAGTCCCGCGAAGGCTCCAGCGAAGGCTCTCCTGGAGGCGGATCCAGTTCCACTCAAGCTCTCTTGACCTCCCAGTGACCCTCTCGGCGAGTAGAACTCCTCGTCATCCTCGGTCCTGCCCGAATCCACGTCGTAATTCTGCCTGAAACTTTGTCTCGAAAGTGGGGGCAACGGCCTGAGCTCCGGCGATTCCAACTTCCTCGAATCTGACCCTGCATTAACATTTCCTCCATTGTTGCGCGAATTGGAACTCTCATCGATACTACGTGAACTTACCAAAGTGCCTAGATAAAGGAACTCGGAGCTAGTGCTGGAGGTTGCTCTAACCTTGTTGCCACTCGTTCTGATCTCAGCAACCGGAGGCGGTTGGAACACTCTGTGGCTGTTATCCGACGTGAAAGTCTTACTGTCGTCGGTGAAATGAGCCTGCTTCTGCCCACGCCTGCGGCAATAGAGAAAGACAGTAATGCCGGCAACGAGAGTGGCGGAGATCACGGCGGCGATTGCAACAATCAGGAGTTTTGGAGAAGATGATTTGGGCTTGGAGGAATGGGGGAGGATGAGAGAGGAGATGTTGGCAGGGAAAGAGGCAAAAGTGACGGGGGGAGGAGGGGGAGGAGAGACAGGGTAGGATGGGAAAAAGGGAGAGTTATTAGGGGTAGAAGTGGAAGAAAAAGGGATCTTGGGAGTAGTATTAGTGGTAGAAGTTGCAGAAGTAGTGGCTGAAGGAGCAGGCGGAGGGAGAGAAGGAGGTTGAGAAGGAGGAAGAGAGTCTAAAGGGAAGAAGGGCTGATGAAGAATCCTACGGCCAGAAATGTACTGAGAGGAGAAACAATCGAACAAGAGCAGGAAGCAGAAGATGAAGAAGAAGGAAGAAGAAGTGGGCATTGTGCGTCTGCAACAATGGGCGGAGAGAGAGAGAGAGAGGGAAGGATGAAGAAGAAGGTGAGTGATTTGTGGGGACTTTTGTTGTTCTTCCTGAGAAAGAGAAAGAAAGGTAGTGGTGAAAAATGAAAAGGTGGGGGAGAGAAGAAAAGTGGTGTATCCAGCTAAGATTCTTCTGGTTTTTTATTTATTTTTTATTTTTAAACTGATAATTTTCTTCTCTACTTTTTAACAGCTGCAAGGAGCGTAGTGTGCGTATTTGTTTTGAACGACGGGGATTTGGATTTCTTGCATGTCTTTTCTTTTTTATTTTTTTTTTTAATAGAAAAGTCTAATTGTGACATTAATACTGTATGAGGATTGATAGCAACTAAACAAATTCTATTATAAAAAAAAAAAAAAAAAAAAAAATTGTAATCTGTTATAATTAACTAATAAATTAAAATTTAATACAACTTGATGGTTAATTAAGAAATTTAATATCGGTGTGAAAAGCATTGGTCGGTGATGACTGCCACCAACAAAATGTAGCCACGTCACGACAAGTGACGTCAACATGTGAAATTTTTATTACCCCGTCTGTCTCTGCAACGGAATAAATAGGTTTGCTACTACTATTCCCCATTTTTGTCCTAAATCAGGAATTTTTAAAAGATATTTTTTGTGTTATTCTAAATTAATTTATTATTTTTTTTAATCAACTTATTTTTGTTATTCAGTAAAAATAAAAAATAATTGGATTAAATTCAGAGAGCATTATGAAAAAATATATAATAAATTAAATAATAAGATTTTACGGCCAAGGTTAAATTGGGTGTGAAAAGTTAGAGAGTTTAGCGACAATTGCGCCCGTGATTGGAGGTCAAGGAAGGCAGTGTCAAATTACCAATCAACCTTCCTGTTTTTTTTTTTTGAGGTGACCGACCCGGTGCATTGCCAAAAGAGATTTTACTTTCCTAAATTAAAATATTAACCCGTAAGAATATAAACATTATCGTATATTCAACAGCTTCCGGCCAAACCACTACAAGATTTTTTGATTGGTTTATCAGTTTCCTTTTTGTAATTTTACTTACAATTGTTGTGCTCGCCCGATAAAAATCTACTTTCCTAATTAATGACGAACAGTAGTATTTTCATTTTATTATCATATAATTTTCATACTTGTTATATCATGTTACTGAAAACTTATATCATATCACATTTTATGAGGAGAATACTTTCCAAGTACAAAAAACAAAATCAACTACGAGCACCGACACTTTAATAAAAATTTTATGCGCATATGTAGTGCCTACCAGAAGGAATAGAAAATTCCTCACCACGTACGACCCATACTCGACGCATGTCACTTGGGAACTTGACACCCAATAAACTATTTCATTAATTAATTATGTTATGATTATTATTATTATATATTTTATATTTTAAATATTTATAATTTAACTATTAATTAGACAGTGTGTATAATAATGCTGGTTGAAATACGTAAAATAAAAATAAAATAAAATTCAAGATACAAATATTTACGGAGGGACCTCACGGTCTCCGTTTATTTATTTAGTGTCTTGTAGCCGTTAAAAGAAACAAAATTATTAAAAATCAAATGGCATAATAATTAACACTATATAGTATATGATTATTTAAATGATAGTGGGTATAAAATAAGTAATTATGGTTGTTTTGCCTGGAAGGCATTACTGATTGTACTATGATCTGAAAGTCGGTCTCGAGCCGACATGCACCGATTGTAAATAAGACCATGTGAGGACTGCATTTTATTAATTTACCCAATAATTTTAATCCACTCATTTTACTAATAATTAGTATTTTACACAGACATTAAGTATTTATCCAATAAATATAATATAATAAATTAATAATTAAATTAAATTGGATGAATAATGAAAAATAGCCGAAATACTCCTTACATCAGGTGAAGTTGTCGACATCTGGAAAGAGGCCGTCGCTGTCTTTGTTCGGAAGTGTCAAGGTCGCCGGATTTACAGGTCCTTTTCCTTTTAACAAAATACATTTAAAATTAAAAAAAAAAACATATATATATATATATATATATAGGTTGGAGTAAGTTTATTTTTGCTTAAATAAATTATAACATAAAACACTTATATTTAGTATAATAAGTTTTATTCAATTAATAGTTAGTTAATTTAATAACTACAGTTAGTGAATATTTGGATCCTTAGTTTGATTGGCTCGTGTTAATCATTGAGGCTGTCATAAATTTTTGGTTTCATTTCATAAAAATCCTCATTTGATATTTAACTAAATATATTTTACTCTTACTAATATCAAAATATTAGTTCAAAATAGAGATTCAAAGTTTATTTTTATTTTTTACTTAAAAATAATATTAACATATATTATGTTATACTTAAATATAAATTAAATTTCTGTTCCTCCTAATAGAATTTGTAATTTTTGAGTTAAAAAGTGCAACATTTATAAATGAATTTAATATTTTTTAGATTATTCCATTTATCTTAATTTACTACAAAAATAATAATTCTAATACGTAAAATTAAAAAGGACATAATTAGTATTATATTATAAAAAAGAGGAGATCATTTACATAAGAATCACTGGACATGTAGAGGCATGATGCGCACGTGTCTTCCCACTTGTGCTTGTTGATTTATTTCCCTTTTGGTATGTCGCATATTTTATTTTCAAGATTCTCACAAATCTTATACTTTGATCCCAAAAAAATAATAATAAATAAAAAAATAGGGTTTTCAAAATTTGTATGACTTTTTTGCTTCACTCTTTTGATCGAATGCATTATTTTGTTATCGAAGAAGAAAAAAGTTTCCCTCAAAAGATTTTAAAAAGGAGGAAGCGCAATAGAGCATGCGGGGCAAATTTTCAACGTTGTGGGGGGGAGCATTTTAATAAATCTAAAGGTAGAAATTATGTCTTTTCCATCGCACTTTAGTATTATTTTTTCTTTTATAGGTGCTAATTTTAGGAGATCTGGCAGGACCCAACCACTCTATAAATTTTGAAAACAACCAACAATCTAAAGCAAAAAAAGAAAAAATCATACCCAATTAATTGGATGGAATGTGTTTGATTATAATTAATATATGTATATCATCTAATAAAATATATGAATGTAATTTTAAAATTACAACCCGACCCGAATCATCAAAATAGGCCGGCCCAACCCAAAAACATTCTCTTCTTCAAAATAGGCCGGCCCGACACGAGACGGTTGGCATGTTTCCTACTTCGATACAGTGATTGATAGGGAATATATTTTCACATCCTCTTTACATCTCCATCTTGTAAAAGATATCTTAGCCATTGGGAGACAAAAGAATGAAGCTTTCTTGGATTACCCCCCTCAAAAGAGAATAGAAAGTTTGAACCCAAAAAAAAAAAAAAAAAAAATTTGTAATAAAAGTGGTGTTGAATTTTTCTTTGCGCTATAATTTTCTTGAAGTATTAACTTGTGGACTCAAATAAATTGTGTGTACTCAAAATTGAATTGCAGTTATTATAAATTTAATCGAGTTTTATTATAATTGTTAATCAATCTTGTACTCTTTAATTATTCAAATATTATCCCGTTAGTGATGCTAATTATTGCAATGATGCTGGTGATGCCTTCCTCTTTTGTCTGAATCTCAGTTTTCACATGGACTTGCTAAATTAGGGTTTGGCACTTCATAAATTAAAGCTTTTGTTCATTTCTTATGCATCTTCTTGTCATTACACGCTTCCTTTTACTTCTTATACAAGTTGGTTTTATTCCCTCTGAGAGATCACCCACTTGCCATTCAATAAATATATATACATATACATGTTTCATTGAGAGAGTATTTATATTACGTGGGTAAATTTCTATATATTATTAATGGACTATGTTTCTTATATTACATATGTACAGATATGAAGGCAAGGCAAAGTACCCAATGGGCTCAGTGTTGTCTAACCATGGGCTGAGGCTGGACAGAAATGCATAAAAGGCCTATTAAAATGACAGTTATCAAAAAACTTAAAAGGGATTAAAATGCAATAACAATTTTTTACAGTCTCAAAAGCTGACAAGTACATAATAAATTGTTGATTTATAAATCAAATAACAAATTAATAAACTCTTATAAATGTGTTTTATTTATGTAACTGTTAACAATTAACACCCAATATTGAATAAATTACTGATTATGAGGAGTGATTTGCCAGATGGCTCAGTGATAACCGAGTGGAGCAGGTGACTCCCTCAACTCCAGCCCTTGACAGTGTATGTCCTGCACCCATTTCAGAAAAATCAATTCAATATTCCGAAAATCAATCTGAAAGAAGAAGAAGAAGAAGAAGAAGAAGAAGAAGAAGAAGAAGAAGAAGATGTAGATTACCGAAGCAAAGTGATTAACATCACGGTGATGCGCCTCATCGGCTCTGACAACCATGACAACATCTCGGAGAGTTGAGCCAGAAGGCAGGCGCCAGTAATCAATAGCAATGGCGGGCGCAGGCACATTCTCAATGTTCCCATTATCGATTTCTTTAAGAAACTCTGTGTAAGAATGTATGGCTTCTTCTTCCAAATACCCCACCATCCGATGAGCAAATTTTGGAGAAACCAAATACCCTAAGAAATATGCGTTGAAGAAGACGCCCTGCACTGCAAATACTAACGCTCGTTCGTACCATTTGGGTTTTGCTACCTCCATGAATGTCATCAGGTGCATCCTCTCATTCTCAGCTTCTTCTAGCAGTGCTTTTATCCAACCCCCACTATGCTCGAATTTTCTTAGTGATTTGCAGTGTAGCAGCATTCCCCCCACCATCCCTGGCACAGCCGCCACTGTCTCTAGCATCATTGCTCTACACCCATATCGTCTCTGAAAGAACATATCCGTTGGCCATCTAAGAATTTTCACGCTCCAATAAGCCATCTTGTCCGTAAATGTAGAAGCTTCATGGTGCTTCTTCAGATCTATTGATATATCTGCTTTGTACGTCTCCCATGGCTGAGGTAACATACATACCAACCCAATTAAATAACCAGTAATCATATGTTTCATTTATTATGAAAATCAAAAGAAGTTAGAAATGGTAAATACCCTGAAACAACTCCATTTCCATTCTGTACCATCTTCTTTGGTAACCTTGTTTGGCTCCACGCCCCAGTAACTAACCATTCTCTTCTCCTTCTTCAAATCACCGGCCGCCGCTGTGACCGGAGGTTTCTGCGTTTCCTCTTTTTTCTCCCCGATCGCCAAAGTACTCCTGTTTCGGACGCCACCAATTGTTGACCCGCGAATAATCGAAATGCTCCCCACGAAGTTTCCGCTCCGGTGGAGGTTGCCCCCCGGACTGGTCAATATATCGTGCGACAACGCGGCCAACATGGAAGAGACCAGGCGAGTCCCACCACGGCTCATCTTTCTGATGACTAGAAAATTCAATCAGCCACAGAGTTTATGAGGGTTTTGGATTCGGTAAAGCTTTTGGGTTGCAGCTGTTTTTTTGTATTTGATTTCTTCTGTCTTGATCTTCGAGGGATTTAAGGAGGGTTTTATATGGAGAGAGAGAGAGAGAGAGAGAGAGAGAGAGAGAGAGAGAGGGGGGGGGGGGGGAGTAATGGTGGTTTTTTCTTGGGGATCAAGCATTGCTGTTGTGTTGACGTTGCGTGAGGTGCAAGTTCATTTGGTAGGTTTGACCGTCTGTTGACGTGATCAAATTTGGCTGCTTGCAGATTGAAATGGGAAAGGAAGAAAAAAGGAATCCAATCTTTTAGGAAAGTGAATATTCCTAAAATAATTTTTAAACTTGCAAATCCACTATTAGACCCGGCCCAATAAACCGGGTCGACCTGGAGGGCCCACCCATCAACAGCCATACTAATTAATTCAAGAGTAAAGGAGTCTTGAGTGGCAAGAATTAGATAATCAACGATCGGAATTTGAGAGTATCAATGGCGGATCTCTCTGCCTCAGCGTCTCGTTCTCTCCATCAATTATTGCTTATCCCGTTGGTTATTGCAACAACATCTTTCTTCGAGGTTAATGCCGACGATGGCAGAGTAGCGGGGAGTTCTCACCAGAGAGAATTTGATTACTTCGCTTTATCCCTGCAATGGCCTGGCACCGTCTGTCACCGAACTCGCCATTGTTGCTCCAAAAATGCCTGTTGCCGAGGGTATCTCCTGTCTTTTTCGCGCAATTTGTTAATTAAAAAGACACCAGACGGAATTTGATTACTTCGAGTTTGTTTTTGATTTTCGTCATCTTCATGTGCGTGGCGTTGATTGGCAATATGTGAAATCAAATCCATCTCTCAGAAATATGAATGGTTTAGTTCATTTATGCATGTTTTAATATCTGGTAATGGGATGTTTGTGCCTGTTTTAATAAGTGATTTTGCACTTGTTTCCTTGAGTATCGTCGTTCCTTGGTTGAGTCTGGCATCTCGGCACTGTTCTATTTCGTAGCTTAACGGATGATTTGTTTAAACTTAGAACTTCGGTGACTCATATTTGTTGGTGTTTCTTCTTTTTTCAGCTCAAATGCTCCAACTGAATTCACAATCCGTAAGTACAAGGCAACAAATGATTTATGCTAGTGTAGAAGCATCAACCCCAACATATGGGTTTTACTTCGCTGCGGAGTTCAAATGTTTGCTTTTGGGGCCTCTTCTGTAGCATATTTGCGACTTGGTTTCTTTTTTTTTTTTTTCTTTTTTTTCCCCTCTTGATTGCAATAACATAAATTATGTTTGATCAGAAATTATTGAAGACAAGCTGCCCCTAAAATAGGAAAGGTGTCAAAATTGTAAGCGTTTTAGTGAGTTTCTTAACATTTGCATGAAACTGAAGCATATTGTTTGTATGTGAAACCGAACGGGTCTTATTTTCTAACTTCCAAAATGTTCTATTAGATGGTACACCTTTATATGAACTTGCTATGGGGATCGTTGAATGAGGCATTCTAACATTCATCCATACTTGTGAGGCAGATGGACTATGGCCAGACTATAATGATGGCACCTGGCCTGCTTGCTGCACAGGGTCTACCTTTAATGAAAAGGAGGTATGCCATTCAGTTACAGTTACGGATAGTTCATTTAACTGGGGAATGCTCCTTTACTGAAACTTGCACGCCTTTAAGATGGGAAGAGGAAATATATGCCATGTGATGAAACAGATGACAGAACAATGAAGCTAAAAACGTACACTGCAAAATATAACCAAGTGACCTTGTTCACCTCTAAAAATTCATCACTGTGGACCTTAAATATATATTGTTGTGCAAAAGTGTGCAAGGACTAGCCTTCCGCAAGACTTGGCCATGATTGTGGGCATTGATAGCTAATTTGTTAGGCAAATTTGTAATTGTGTACAATATTGCATTGATTTTTTTATTAATTATTACAAGAAATACTTGGAGTAGCTTTTATTTTTTCAAATATTCAGGTCCATCCCTGTAGAGATTAGTTGAACCTACAATTTTTCACACATGGGTTTGGTTATCAGAGAACTACCTGTTAAGATTTACTTTGCTACCCATGAAGGTGAAAATTTTCCATTTCAAGAACTCAATTATCTTTTGACACTTGATCTTACATCGTCATTTCTTTTTAAAAATTAAGCAT